GCATCCAAGGAAAAATGCACAGGAAACCGTTCCCAAAAGTGTCAGAAAGCGAATCATCCGGTGTTATGGTTCTTGTTCATACTGACATTTGCGGACCAATGCGTACGAAGACCTTTGCTGGAAGGCGGTATTTCATCACGTTTATTGATGACTGCAGCAAGTACACTGTCGTCTATTTGCTGCGTGCGAAGTCCGAAGCAATGCAGAAACTGGAGGAGTATGTCGCGCTGGTAGAGAATCGATTCGGAAAGAAGCCTAAAATTCTGCGGTCTGATCGAGGGAGGTGAGTACATCGGCAAGAAAGTGCAAGTGTTCCTGAAGCGAAACGGGATTACTGGCCAGTTCACGGCACCGTACACCCCACAGCAAAATGGGATAGCCGAACGGAAAAATCGGTACCTGGTTGAAATGGCCAGGTGCATGCTGATCGACACAAATCTGGACAATCGCTTCTGGGGAGAAGCAATAGTGACGGCGAACTATATGCAAAACAGACTGCCGTCGAGGTCCATCAGTGGTACACCATATGAACGGTGGTTCGGGAAGAAGCCAAATCTCGGACACATTCAGCGGTTCGGTGTGGACGCCTACTGTCATGTACCATGTGAGAAGCGTGGTAAGTTGGACCGGAAGGCAATTAAGCTCAAGTTTGTCGGATACAGCGAAGTGTGTAAAGCATACCGGTTGATGGACATAGCAAAGGGAAAGGTAACTATAAGCCGTGATGTAAAATTTCTAGCTACTTACAGGCCCGAGTCAGGGTCAGCAGTGGAAGATTTCGTTTGTACATCGATCGGCTGCAAATTGGTGGAGCCTGAGGTGCCTGATGAGGAAGTCGAGAGCGACGCAGACAATGGTAATTCGGACGATGGTGATGACCAGGACTACGACGATAATCGCGAAGACCCGGATGACGAGCGCTTGCCAGAGGGCTCTGATGAAGAAAAAATCGAACATTCGTCTGATGAACCTTGTGACGAGGAGAGCACGCCACGACGATCGACAAGAACGAATATTGACACGATTCCGAAAAGGTATGCATGCACGGCGGAAATTTCGATTCAGGAGGAGCCGAAAACGTTGAAGTAAGCATTTTCCAGCTCACACCGCGTGCAGTGGCATAAAGCTATGGTGGAAGAGCTCGAGTCCATTAAAGCAAATGACACGTGGAACTTGGTCAACTTGCCGGCGGGAGGCCGTGCCATCGGTTGCAAATTGGTATAAAAGTATAAACGTAACGAAGAAGGCAGTGTCGTACGCTACAAGGCCAGGGATTCAGCCAGCGTTTTGGGACGGACTACGATCAAGTCTTTGCGCCCGTAGTTCGTCAGACCACTTTTCGTACCCTAATGTCTGTCGCTGCAAAGAGGAGAATGGTTGTCAAACAATTTGACGTAAAAACGGCGTTTCTCTACGGCAACCTTGAGGAGGAGATCTTTATGAGGCAGTCTCCCGGGTTCGCCGTCAGTGGTATGGAATGCAAGGTGTGCCGTTTAAAGAAAAGCTTGTACGGTCTTAAGCAAGCTGCCCGTTCGTGGAACCAGCGGCTCAACGAAGTGTTAGTTGAAAATGGATTGCAACGGTGTGAGGAAGATCCCTGTCTTTATCGAAAGCGGATTGACGGAAAGTGGTGTTACGTTCTTGTTTACGTGGACGACCTTATTGTAGCGAGCGAGGACGAGCGGATGGTTATCGAATTTGAGCGAACTCTCAAAAGCAATTTCGAAGTCAGCAGCCTCGGTGACGTCAGGTTTTACGTGGGTATCGAAGTGGAACGGGACCAAGGCGGAGATTTTCACATCAGTCAGCGAAAGTACATCGAGGAAGTAGTTGATTCCGTCGGCCTTCAAGATGCTAAAGTATCAGCCATTCCCTTGGAAGTTGGATATGATAAGACAGACGACGGCGACGACCTACTACGTAACAACCAACAGTACCAAAAGGTAGTAGGGCAGCTGTTGTACATTGCCGTCAATAGTAGGCCAGACATTGCGGCGGCAATCTCGATCTTGAGTCGCAAGGTGAGTTGTCCGACCCGACGAGACTGGAACGAGCTGAAGCGAATGGTTCGCTACCTAAAGGGGACAATTGGCCTGGAGCTAAGGCTGAGCAGTAACAATGATCGATCTGGACTAACTGGTTACGCTGATGCTGATTGGGCTGAATGTCGCACCGATCGCAAGTCTAATAGCGGTTACGTATTCCAGTATTGTGGAGGCACAATTTCGTGGGCGTGTCGAAAACAATCTTGTGTATCACTATCCACAGCGGAGGCAGAATTTGTAGCCCTTTCGGAAGCATCCCAGGAAGCAGTATGGTTGGAACGATTGCTGGAGGACCTATGTGAGAAAGCAGAAACAATTACATTATTCGAGGACAACCAAAGCTGCCTTAAGATGCTCTATTCCGAGAAGTTTTGTAATCGTACCAAGCATATTTCGATAAAATTCCATTACGCCAAGGATTTGAAGACGAAAGGTGTCATCAAGTACGTGTACTGTCCTACGGAATCGATGACCGCGGATCTCCTGACAAAGCCTCTATCACGCGTACGATTGGAGGTTCTTCGGAAGAAGTGTGGTCTACAGTAGCAGTGTTGAGGAGGAGTGTAGAGCAAATCCGTTTCTAGCAATACTTCTACTATCGATCAAAGCAACCATGCGAAGAGAAGAAATATTTCAGTTTTTCAGTTTATATTCAACTACCGACTAAAAAGACGTTATTCTTGTAAACGTAGTCAATTCATTAAAGTCCAGTCCGATTTCCTTCCCGTACCTCCGATAGACTCGACCGTACAAATTTCACGCACTTCCGGCGGCTTGACAATCGCTGGATTGGTCCACGTAATTTGTATGAAAACTTCGCAAGGCGCGTTAGCGTTAGCGTTAGCGTTAGCGTTAGCGTTAGCGTTAGCGTTAGCGTTAGCGTTAGCGTTAGCGTTAGCGTTAGCGTTAGCGTTAGCGTTAGCGTTAGCGTTAGCGTTAGCGTTGTTATGATATACTTCGTAGATTGGATACTAGCGACACTCACGTCTCTTCTGAAATTCTCAGTTAGACTACTTTCAGGAATAATGCTGAGGAGTAAACATTGGTTCCAATCTAAACAAGAGTAACAGAAGCATGACTGTCGCTATTCCCGGCCACGCCCATCTTTACCATAACTATGCATAGGGAACGAGATGTTGATGTAGTACTTACTTAACGAGAGGCCACCGACTTAGCGACACCCTCATAAGTGCTACGGAGTTGGAGGGTTGGGTAGGGTATTCGGTTAGGATTCACCTCAAGTTGGCGATGCAACCAAAAGTATGTATTGTTTATTTGTTGTTTATTTAATCTCTCGATAGCCGGCTATCGAAAGAACATATTAATTTTGTTTAGTGATAATGAATTTTAAGAGTCATGACGGAGAGCTTGGGATTAAACCCATGATTTTCTGCTCAGTAAGCAAAAACGATCCCTCCAGGGTCATCGAGCATCGAGAACCATAACAAATAATGTTTCAGTTGGGAATGTGTTAGCATTTGTCATGGTGGCGCCACTGAACCATTGAGCAAGCCACCACATTTTGAACTTATCAGTGATGCCAGTTTATTTTCACGTCTAGTTAGTAGATGTCAGCTCTTAAAAATAATAAGTGGTCAAGGCATCCCACAGGACACACATACCACATCTGACGAATACAGAAAAAAGTTGTTGAATATTACATCAAAACTGCTGCACATTAGTCATTCCCTTCCTAATATTACGTTGTACGATGTACACAGAATTCGAGAACAAATCATGTTGATGACTGTAATATTCTATCATTTTTTACCAGTTATGAATGTTCAATACTTCACCATGAATATCATTGATTGATACATGTTATTTTTTTCTTCTGTGTACACATAAAAGTGATGAGCGGTTGTAGAAAGGGCACTATTAAGTGATGCATTACCTCGTTTTAAAACTTGTTTCCAGCAAAAGAAAAAGCACACTAAGCAAACAAAACAAATCCAAAAAAAAAGTCTTAGCTTTTGTGAATTTTTCCTACGGATCCGTATTTCTGCAGAATTCAATTAATTCTATAGATCTTCGGAAAATTTCGTAGAACCGACATCACTGACTTCCATCTGTTTTGTTTTTATTCTACACAGCTGACGGAGCACAGTTGACAGAACGAGTGAAAAGCAACTAGTGAAAAAATTGCATGAACGAGGGATGCTCCGGTTGCAAAACAATGCTTGGGAATGTGGATGATAGATGGTGCTAGCATAGAGGTAACTCTAAGACTAGTAGGTCCCGAAGAAACGTGCTCAACTTTTTGGCTCATCTCTGGTACTATCTTCGGTCCCAAGCTAATCGATGCACCCATCGAAACATAGGGAAATCCACGAACCCCTCATTTTATCTGTCAAACTTTCATAGCGAATCAAAACAAACATTATTTATACTAGTATGGGATACGTTAGTCGATTTGCTTGGGACCAATAGGCTAGTCAAGTAGTGAGCCAATTTCAAATCGTTAGTTTCGTATTGATTGTTGACCGTACCGCATACGGATACATTCAACAATCCTCTGGATAAAATGTTGTAGACTACCCAACATACAATTTTAGCTTCGTTTAATTCAAGCAAAATGAAGTACGTAATACATGAGCAAACCACCAAGCAACGTTCATTTCAAGCCCCATCATGTTTTGAACGCATCCCCTTCGAACTGCCGTGAAGCGACGCTGTTCCGCACGGATCGATCCATCAAAAATCTGCTCGAAAAACTACTCAAACGCTGTCTGGCGGAGACAGCAGCATCCGCGCCTCTCAGCTTTCAGGTGTAGCGATTCGAGCTGCCCGTCACGACGGCCTGCGTGCGGGTGATCGCTCGCATACATGTGTGCGTGTGTTGCTGGGACCTTCGACGGCTGCGAAACAGAGAAGCCACCAGAGGGTGTGTGCTCTTCTGTCATTCGGTGCGATGTGTGTTTGGTATATTTGGTTGGTGGACATTCATATTTCATTCGGTCGTCCGTCGCGGTTTCTCATCGTCGTCGTCGTGTGGTGAGAAAAAGGAAAACTTTCGCGTAAATAAATAACTGCGGTTTTCGGAGTAAAATTTGCGTGTTTTTCCGGCGGAAAAGTGAACCCCCCGATCGCCGGACGGTCGGGCGCTATGGAATACGCTTGCGGAAGTCGATTCCAGTGCGGGAACCGTGCGAAAAAGTGCTTTTCGGAGATTTTTTCCTTCCACAAGGAACAGCAGAAGAAGCAACGAGGTTGAAGTGAAAGGGAAGAGGGGGTGAAGAAAGATTACCGCTGCAGCCGTCGCCACCGTTGCCGCGCCCCCCTTCGAGTCTACCGTTCATCGACAGTGCGCGCGAGACGCAGCAGGCTAGTAGTCATCAACCCAACATTACTATTTTTTTACGGAGGAAGCCTGAGCGAGAAAGCACCAACCTGGGACGGAAGAAAAGTGCGTACGAAAGTGCAGCATTTCTCTGTTTTTATCGGGTAACAAAATGCACAAAATCTACTCATTGGATCTACAACGGTTTGAATGACGGAGGGAAAGAGATCGAACGACTGGGCTGTGGTGGGCGAGGAGAAAGAAGCTGGGCGTTTTGAACCCGGGCGCGGAGTCCCCGCGGAATTAATTTCTCCCGCGATCCACGGTATTATTACCAATCTGGGGGATGGGGTGACCGTGCAGCAGCCGCCATGAAAACGGCAACTTTTTCCAATTATGAATCGCGCCCTACTGATCAATGAAAGCTTCCTATCTGGTTTTGTTTTTTTTTTTTTCTTTTCAAGACGCTGGTGTCAGGGCTCTGTTTTGAAATTATTGTGAACAATGTTTACAAACAATTTGTAGTGGCAGAGGACTACTTCTGATTCGAGTCTCGGATTTCACGGGAGCTTGTCTGATGGTCAGAGTGCACGAGCAAGAAAGCAGCCATGAAAAGGAAGAAACCCACAAGGGGGGGAATGGTCTTTGACAAAAAGATGGTATTTTCGTTCGCCATCAGCAGCAGCAGCACAGACAGGCGTCCGTCCGTCATGTGTGCGCGTGTGTTGGTGGGGATTTGTTGTTGTAAACATAAATGTGATACCGCTGCAGCAGCACCATTTTTTCGCTGTAAACCAGTTTTGGATTAGAATGAGATAAACCCTTCCTCCCTTCGGTCCCTGGTTCGTCTCTGTGCCTCCGGACATCAACAGCAGACCATCGTCGTCGTCGTTTTTTCGTCATGTGTGTGCCATTTAATAATGGGCGAAATGGAGCTTTAAATCTGCGGGATGATGGGCGAGTTTTGCCTTAATGGATGATGATGAAGATGAAATGGAGATTCTTTGTTTTGTATACGCAGGTAAGGTGGAGATGAAAGTTACCTCGGTTGTTTGGAATGATTACTCATTTTTCCGATGTAATCTAACTGGATTCAGATCAAAATTGGGCCATCGCACTGTAAGTTTATCTATATCATGTATGTAATCATAGGTTTAAATCTTTGTGGCTTCTGGCAAGAATAAGAATAATATTATCTACGAGTTTCCTAATCTCTGCGTTGGGTAATATAGCAAACACAACTTATTGGGTCAGATAAAAATGATAAGATTTCGATGATTTTAGGAATACCTACCACAATGGCGACGAAAAAACCTACCCAATGCAGTCTTATGAAAACATTACTGAGCGGTAAAGCAATCCGTGGGAAATCAGCCTACATGTTCCGCATAAATAAGCGTCCCGGAAGACGCCCACTTGTAGCTGCTTTTAACAACTTCGTGGAAGCTACATCTTAAAATCAGTTTCACTCATCGGAAATTGATTGGTTGTAATACTTGCGGAAAGGTTCCGGAATATTATAATTGATGCTTGTCAACGGTTATCTTTCATGATGGTTACTGGCTCTACGTCCGCAAGAAAACACGTCCCGTTGCCACAAATTCGGCTTCAATCGAAGATATGGCCGAGGAAATCGTGTTGCCAAAAACCTGGAATAAATATCCACTCACCGATTTACTATCTTCTTTGCCAATGGCCAAGTCAGTATATCCAAGCAAAGGACTTGCTTCGTCGTCTGGATTGAATTCCAAGGATAACTGCTTCGTGTCTCTCAGGTATCGAAGCTTCAGTACTATCCAATGCGATGAGTCAGGATTTTGCTGGGAACACCCATGGTAACCAACCATCCTCTGTTCGAAGGAAACCTCAGACCATTCAAATCGAAATCGCATTGTCGAATGATAGCTGCAACCGTATGATGTTTTTTTTGTAGTCAGATGATGCTCCTCTCGAATACAGGATGAACGAGAAGCGAACGGACCTCAGTTGAAATACGGAATGCTCTCTGTAGGATGATTGTCGTCCCGAATTTAAATGCTTAGCCTGATGGCGCAAATCTTCCTAAACCTGATGTAAATAATTCTATCGAACGTCATTTGTTGATCTGAGTTGAGAAATGAGGTGTAAACCGAAGATTCTATATTTTGTGGGGAGGAAGTTCCCTCTACCAATAAACGATTTTTGTATCCATGATGGAATGGCTGTTTATGGCTTTTAAATGTGGAAATGTAAACAGTCTAATTTAAAGCATTTACAATTCATCCTATTCTTAAAATTAGTCATATAGATGCTCATCAGCTGATGACGAAATTCGAAAGCATATTGTTAAAAGATTCTGGATCATTTGAGTTTATACAACTTAGGTGCCTGATAGAGTGAAAGCTGGTGATTGAACATATTTTTTTTAACAACTACAGTGCAGCAACGCTTTCTCAAATTAACCATGTAGTTAACGAAAACAGTCGTAGTTTGGACCTCTGCTTCGTGGGCCCTCAGGACAGAGCTCCATCAATTTCCTCGGCTCCTTGTGCACTAACTAAGCTAATTTTGCGTCACCCTCCTCTAATCGTCACTGTTGAGGACAAACTCGTGCGTGATTTCGACGATTATCACGCTACGGTTTCTTATGACTTCCGTAAAACTGACCACCGTAGTATCATAGATGTATTGTCTAGCATGGTATGGGAGCACATCCGTGAGGCTGCCGATAGCATGTCGGATCGAATTCAAACGGACCTTATATTCAGACCTATCCGCAGCATTCGACAAATTGAACCATGCTATTGCGATTGCTAAACTCGGCAAGCTCAGTGTATGCGGTAATCTTCTGAGTAGGTTTCGATCGTACCTTACTGGTCGCCAATTAATGGTTGCTATAGGAGATTGCAGATCAGCTAGCTTCTTCGCCGCATCAGGCAAACCGCAGGAAAGTCACCTGGGACCGTTGATTTTTCTACTGTACTTCAAAGACGTGCATCTGGTCATTGAAGCTCTTCGATTATCATATGCAGATGACCTCAAAATCTTCCTAAGAATCCGCTCGATTGCTGACTGTCACTTTATGGAATGGAATTTTATGGTCCATGACAAAAAAATGCAATTTATTTCAATATCCAACCGTATTTGAATATCTGAGTTACCAGATAAATGTCACTATTGGTTACTTATTTATGATTTAAAAGTCACTATTTGGTCACTATTTCAGTGATTTTAGTCACTATAACCAGCTCTGAAATATGGATCTTATTTACCTGAGCAACTTTGCCGAAGAGACCAAACTTTTGTGACTTGAATTTTAGGAGTTATGAGATTATGTTCGATAACATGCTTCTACCAAGAAATATAACTGATCTAGATTAAAATTTAGTTATTAAGATCAGTTCATAAATGTATCAAAAGAGCTCTTATTTATCTGAAATCTTTGTTGCAGATTTTGTTTTAAAAGCGTGCATCCCCAAAAAATAAAGAGCTTATCTAGATTAAACTATAGTGATCTAGATCAAAACAAATGACATCCAAAGATAGATCTTATTCATATGAACAACTTTTTCAAAGACATCAAACCTTTATTGCTTAGTGTTAAGGAGATAGAGCTGATCTATATCAAAATATAGTGATCTAGATCAAAACGAATCATGTCAAAAGATAGATCTTATTCACCTAAACAACTTTTCCGAAGTCACCAAACCTCTGTGGCCATAAGCTTTGAAAATATGAGGTTTTGTCCGATAAGATGCTTCTACCAAAAGATAGAATTGATCTAGATCAAAATTTACTTATTGAGGTCTGTTCTGTCTGAAGTTATCAAAAGATAGCCCTTATCTATCTAAAGATTTTGTTTAAATAGTTGAAAACACGCAAATTAGAGCTGATTTAGATCAAATTATAGCGATCTACATCAAAATAAATGACGCCAAAAAATAGATCGCATTCACCTGAACAACTTTGCCGAAGAGACCAAACCTCTATGGCTTGAAATTGAGTGGTTATTTCAGAAATTAAGGTCAGCTCTAAAGGTTAAGAGATGAACTAGCCAATGGCTAAAAATCTCTATAATAAAGGAAAAAAAAAAAAGTTCTAAAGGTATCAAATTATAGCTCTTATCTAGAGAGGGTCTAGTAAAAACTGTATTTAAGATATAGTTTTAATAGCGTGCTTCCTCAAAATATACAGCTGATATAGATCAAATTGAAGTGATCTAGATCGAAACTAATGATGTCAAAAATATACCTTATTCATCTGAACAACTTTACCGAAGACATCCAACCTTTATTGCTTAATGTTAAGGAGATAGAGCTGATCTATATAAAAATTTAGTGATCTAGATCAAAACGAATCATGTCAAAAGATAGATCTTATTCACCTAAACAACTTTTCCCAACACACCAAACATCTGTTTAGGAGTTATGATGTTTTCTCCGATAAGTTACTTCTACCAACATATATAGCTGATCTAGATCAAAATTTAGGAATAAAAGTCAGTTCTATAGATATCAAAAGACATCTCTTATCTATCTGAACACCTTGTTAGAGATTTTGTTTCAATAGCGTGCTTCCTCAAAATACATAGCTGATTTAGATCACATTATAGTGATCTAGATCAAAACAAATTACGTCAAAAGAGAGATCTTATTCGCATGAACAACTTTTCCTTAGTTACCAAACCTCTATGGCTTTAAGTTAAGGAGGTAGAGCTGATCTATATCCAAGTATAGTGATTTAGATCAAACTTATCATGTGTGATCTAGATCAAAACGAATCAGATAGATCTTATTCACCTAAACAACTTTTCCGAAGACACTAAACCTCTTTAACTATAAGTTTCGGAGTTCTGATGTTTTTGTCCGAGAAGATACTTCTACCAACATATATAACTGATCTAGATCAAAATTTATTTATCAAGATCAGTTCTAAAGGTATCAAACGATAGCTCTTTTCTATCCGTAAAACTTTGCGTAAGAAATCTGTTTTAATAACGTGCTTCCTCAAAAGATACAGCTGATATAGATCAAATTGAAGTGATCTAGATCAAAACGAATCATGTCAAAAAGTGGATCTTATTCATCTGAATAACTTTCTCAAAGACATCAAACCTTTATTGCTTAGTGTTAAGGAGATAGAGCTGATCTATATAAAAATTTAGTGATCTAGATCAAAACGAACC